ATTTTCTTCAACCAAACAGCATAATTTTTGCACATGAACTTAACAAAGCTTCGAACAAGTAGCTACCATTGTGAAAGTGCAAACCAAACTCTGATATGTTTGTAAACCATATAGTTTCCTGGATGAAAGTCTTGTTGCTGAATTAAGCTTCCATCTTTTCTGCTTGCCTTCCTATGTGGACTGGAAGTCTTACTTTCGATGGCATATGTGGGAAAAATCAGTTTTGTTTGAAAACGATATTACATTTCGTTCAAAATGTAAATGAGAATCGAGGTTAGTTGTATGTAATTGTGAGAAAACAGGGTTGCAGCATCACTAGCGCGAGCACATATCAGGAATATTCAGTTTTAAAAGAACCACTTCAAGTATCTAATAGGGAAGTATAACAAATTAGGCAACTTTTAGTTTGAAATAAACATTATAAACTCACAGCTAAGCAGCTCAAACACTGAAATAAATGACCAGAGAAAATTAAGCCGTTTATTGTCTTGCTAATCCTGCAGGATCTACAAACGTTAATGCAAGAAAGAAAGAAGTAGATGAAGCAGTAAATTAGATATAATAGGATTATTTAATGTGTCCATAATCCCTAATGCATACATTAATCTTTAACTAAATATAAACGTTCAGCAGGATGAGATTTGTTTAATATTATTGGCTTTGCTTTAAAAAATCTGTGAAATGCAAATCTGCCAAAACTTAGTTGTGACGCTCAAAAGTTGTTGATTTCAAAGACAATGTTTGAAGACTATAAATTTTAAATCTGACAGATGATCAAGTTGATTTGAGCCATTATCTCGTATACTGATGGATTAATTTGATAAACTTTTACTTCACTTTTTTGTATAACTATGCTCATTAACCTTGTTTTTTTTTTAAATGGCAGTCAAATAATATCATAATAAACTCAGAAAGTGACGTCTTGTAAACATTTTTGAATGATTGCAGGCTTTAAATGGAATAAACGCTTTTAAAATTGGCTGCATCAAGGCGTATAATCGTTCAGAAATGGAAAACAAACCCCGTTCTGTGCAGCACTTTAGGCACGGCGTTAGAACAGCAGCGTCTACAGGTGCTTGGGGGACATTAAGGTACAGTAATTCAATTTAATTTAACTGCCGCCAGACATTAAAAAATACCGAGATATTTAGTAAATATTTCAGGAAGCCGAAACAACAGTTCATTACCGCTTCGCCGAGGCTTATATCAGCACTCTCAGGTTGAAAAGTGCATTATTCTGTCCTGTAGCCGTGGTTAATTTACCATTTAATACAATTTCCAAACAGTCGGGCGGGTTTAATTCGCCGCTACGTTTCAGCTTATCAAAGCCGCTAAGCCAGGAAGGAAGAAACCAGGTAACACTGCTCGCTTTGTGTCTTGCTGAGGATTTAGGTCAAGTCTGAGACAATCCTTTGGGCATTCCCTCAATGCCATATGTGCAGGCCAAATGCTATCATTACCCTCTGTCCTTAAGCGATCTCTCCCTCCGTACCTCATGGGTCTTGTAGAATCAGTCACTGCCGCTGCATCAAGCGACCACACCAAGGTCGAGGCGCGCGCGTGTTTTGTATACGTGTGTTCTTTTAATCCGGCTACTAATAGGTGAATTTCCCACGGCGGCGTATCTGCAGCCTAAGCATACTGGGAGCCAGGTACAGGCGGCTGTGAGGAGGTGTAAGCAAAGCTAATGCACTGCGAGACAGATGCAGGAGCAGCTTCATCTCCCCAGCGTGGCGCTCAGAAAGTGGCAGCTCGCCAACAACCGCTGCTTTAAGACTGAGCATATTAAAGATCACATGCGAGCGCGACTCCCTCCATGTGCACCTTTTTTTTTTTTCCCTCCACTGACCGCTGGAGGTCCTTGTCCTAATTTAAGGGAGGAGGGTTGTTTGCCAGTGGCGAAAACAACGGCCGACTTGTATAAATTAATGCGTGGGCGGAATAGTGCTGTGTAGAGAGTGCAGCTGGTTAGGCCTTCGATCACATCCCTACTGTGAATTACAATGCAGACGAGATGCCGAGTCAGCTCGAGCAAAACAAGCCATCTGATGTGTCCAAAAAAAAAAAACGCCCAGCATATGGAAGAGGAAGAGGAGAATATTTTTACAGTGGAAGCATGATTCTAAACAGATCCCCGCTACAGTAACATATAGCTGATAGGACAGAATACGTGGCATTGCATGAGAAAGCCCAGTTTTCATTCAGAAATTGGCATCGCTCCTGGCTCACCACACCACTGTGAAATTGCTCCATCAATCCCCGGCGCCTTTTCCCTCGAGGTGAAGTCAAAATATTCAGCAATTCATTTGTGTTGCTCATTCAGCAAAGAATTCATGTTTTACATGGGCGGTATAGTCTCAAAGGGAATAACAGTTGTTCCAGACGGCAATGAATCAATTCATGCAAGTGGATTGTTGTTCACGTTAACCGACAACCCGCAGACGTCCGTGCACACTCCCAAGATCAAAAATAAACAGAGGCGCACCCACGACATGGTATAAAAGTTATATGTCCTGCACTTTAGAAGCTTTATTAACATTTAATAGCTTCTGGTAGAGGCCTCTCAGACAAAAGATGGATTTAAAATAAAAAGCACACTGCACATGTTGCACGAGGAAACAATGGCTTTTCTGAAGGCATCTCTACAAATGCCTCCTCCGACCCCCGAGGAGTTAGTTATTGCAGACAAAGAGCGAATCGCGTGCTCGACAGTACAGCGTCCATAACTCTGCCGCTTTGGCTTTTATGACGCGCCGCAATAACAGGACAGGATGTTCGCAGCACGATACACACATCAGACGATCAGCAGCAAAGCTCCCATTTATAGGCGCTGCTAACGCGTTCGCTCACCTGTTTTGGGGTCGACGGAGAAATATGGCTGTCCTTGTAGGATGCTGTAGACTATCCTGGCGCTGTTTCCGTAGGTGGGGTCGTCGGCGTCCGTCGCCGTGACTTGCAACACGGACGTACCTGGAAAGAAAAAACAACTGAGTTATTTCCCGATAACAGCCGTCTCTCTGTAAAAGGTTTTTTCAAATGTTTAATGCACGTAAACTGGTGTGTAATTATGTGAAGGGTATCTCCTAGCAACCACGTGTGATGCATTTAGATGTGAAGAGAATTACAGTGATGTAAATGTGGATGTATGATAGCAGGAGTAGACAGAGGTCTAAAATGCTTGCAGCTTTAAGATCACCTGATTTAATCCAACAAAAACAGGGAGCAAGCAATCAAACATGCTAATCTAGCTAGCTTTACGACAATAATATACATGAATTGTTGCAGATTGCTAGAAAAATGTGCCTCTGAAAGGATAAAAATGACGAATATAATGAATGTACTCTGGTATTCTTTACCAGTGAAACATGATCAGCCTGTCAATATCCCGCATCGACGAATCGGCGTTGCGCTGTTGCACAAAAGTTGACCGCGTGAGTTCTGTCAATTGCTGGACACGGTTCCAGTGTTTACCCTCAAATGGGAAAACGTCACGAGTTCAATCATTGGATTTTTTTTTTTTTTACTCCATTGAAAGAAAGAAAAAAAAAAATGACATAAACAAAGACGAACGATCCGAAAACTCGGCGTGATGCTCGCTGCTATGTGGAAATTCAATGCAAAAGCCGCCGTGGTTCAATTTAACACTTCAACTGTTGCTCAGAGCGCATTACAGGCTTCATTAAGCCATTATAATTGCACGATGAGTGCATTGTAATTGCACTACAGGCCCATACAGTAGAATGCATTAGTATATGTAAGGGTCGCAGTCCGGCGTACGCTGTTTGCAAGTTTTATTTAAACATGGAAGTCCACTTTAGTTCTGTGACTTTTTTTAATTTTGCTCTTAATATCGTGTCAACTCAGGGAGGGCCTTTGCAAATCCTGCAGCGTTGTTGTTGTTTTGCACAGCGACGATGAAGTTTCTCAAGTCGTCGTACGATTGTGTTGGAAAGACGTACGTATCAGAGCCTGTACATCTACGGGACACTCGCTTTGCTGTGTTCCTCTGGGAATTAAACCACTCACTCTACTGTGTGCCCCACCAGATAGGAGTTTTTATTTATTTATTGTTCTTGGAAACCTGTGGCAGCAGAGTGAAATGCCAGCCATAATGAACCGTGCACTCCATAGCATGCTTGTGCACTAATCTGAATCTTTGTCAACCTTGAGAATAGATTTGGAGGCTGAGCTGGATCCAGATCTTGTGTTATTATACGAGCTAACTGATGAACTTGTCCCGTGTTATTGGTATAAGTCAAGAAAACGCTCATTGTCACCTCGTATAATTAAGATTTCTATACGTAATAGTACATATATTCTGTTTTCCGTTCTGTTTTGTGCATCTCTCCGTTGGAAACGCTGGTAATAGGCGCACATCACTGCATATTCTTACCGATAATGACCTCCTAATAGGCTGTACGATGTGCTCGGCTTTGTTCGCGACGCACTTCAACTTAAGTGTTCACGTTCTATATTTGAGTGATACATTTGGAAGTGATGAGTGCTGCATTAAAAGGTCTGATTGCACTCATCAAAAAGTGAACAATCAAGAGTCAGCGTGCACCTGTTTACCCTTTGGGAAAAAAAAAAACAACCATTCGCTGGTAAAGCTCTGCCGGGTGTCTGGATTTAACCACCAAGGTCACTGTATATTTCATGCTACACATTTCTTCTAGACTAAAGACATTTATTCACCACCAAGAGACAGAAAAACTCCCACAAAGCGGCCACCAGCACCAGCAGCAGCAACAGCAGGAGCAAAAAGGAAGTAAGACGGAGCCTGGAAACTGTGTCAGCGCTCACCTCTAGCAACTGAAACTATTAATAACGATTCAAAACACTGCTGACCGAGGAGTTCTTGGACTCATCCCAGCTAAGGAGCTGCTGGTTTCAACTCTTTAAACGCCCCGAAAATCTGCTGCAAATGGGATCTGACACCGAGTCTTAAAGGATATCTCAGAGAGTCGGACGGTCGATTGTTTCGAAGGCAGGGGGAGACTTCATACTTTTAAAGACGCCCTCTGGAGAAAATCAAGTTTTTCTTTTTTTCTTGCTAACGTGTCCAAAAAGTGCTTTTTATACGCTGGAACACACATTATGGGCAGATTAAGCAGTCAAGGCCGATCCGAAGCATTTCGGCCTTTTTGTGCGACTATTCTTCTTTAGAATCGATTTGTTAAGATCCAACATGTTTGGCTGAATTACTCCAATAGTACCAAGTTGCCAAGCGTAGTTTTACAGTGCTGTAGGTGAGCTGGTGTGCTCGAGCTGCACGGTAGGGTTGCATCTAACCTATTTAAGGCAGGAAATGGTTGCTTTCATGTAAAAAATATTCTAAATAGACACACAAAGATGACTTTTTAGGGGTTCAATCAACGGCTAAAGAGGGATTTTAGGGTTTTAGTTATAGACTCAACCTTTTTTTATACCTGGACTGTATTTAAAATGGTTTGATTTGAAAATTAGATTTAATCAATCAACCAATATTCAGTTCTAGCAGTCCTGGATGGTTGTATGTAGCATTAGCATCCCGCTGCTAGTGAGGAATGATCCTCTGCAAGTCTTGCGAAAACAGTGAGATTCATTCTCGTTCCAACATATAAATATATATATAGATCTGTCTTAGCATTACGAACCCCACTCACACACTGTGCACCATCTTTACATCCACTTTCATCACCTCCTTTAAGTTCCAATCCATCTATCTCCCCCTGACCTCGCCGGACCACGCACAAAAACATAATGCGCTTTTAAAAGATCAAGGTTGGGCTCTGAAACTGGATTACAACCACCAGGTTTTCTTCATCCTTTTCCTCAACCTGACTCAAGGCTCTTTTTTCTTTTTTTTCTGCCATTTTCTTCATCCTCACTTTCATTTTGGTCATGAAATAAAAATCCCATTGGGTGGATGTGAGCTGTAAGCACGACACTGGGTTAAAGAAAGATGTAATCTTAATGGCAAGTGCTGGCACGGAAGTGGATTTGAAATTCAGAACAGAAAACCTCGATGTTAAGCCTTTTTTTTTTCTCATTTTTATTGTTTCACAAAGGGGTTAGATGTTTGCCTTGTGTGGAATTCCACTCAAAATTAGCGGCAATAACATGAATTGAATCTTAACTATTCATCTAAACAAGCTACCACGCCCGCCTCCGGGTTTGGGAAACCGCTATTAAACGGTGATTTTCCCAGAAGCGAAGCTGCTCTCTCCGTTTAGAGACACCTCATCTGGGAAAGATGCATTATGAAATTGATACTTCCCTCATCAGGCACTCAAAAAAATATGATTGCACCATTGAACGGGAGGTACGAAGCCGTTGAACGACCTGGCACATGCCCAGCTAATCAATTTAGACAGGAAAAAGAACATCGCAACCAATTAGCTGCCACACTCCAAGACGGCCCCCTTTCCTACACTTGGGAGCCCCGAGTATTGACGAATGCAGAGGGGATTAGTGCTGTGGAGTGTGAGGACAGTTGATTGTTACAGCCGATTTGACGCCGCAGACGCCAAACCGAAGAGGAATTACTTTAATGGACATGAGCAAAAAGAGGGGGCGGAAAGAAGAAGAAGAAGAAGAAGAGAGAGAAGAAAAAAAAAGAAGGGCTAATTATTTTCCCCTTCACAGTCCTTGATTTCTTCCCCTGGGTCATCGATGGTGATTGATTCTTTTTGTGCAGCCGATGATGAAGTTTGCAGCCAACATTGAAACTTTAAAAATAAGAAGTCTTGTTAGAAGTAAGTGAAGGATGTCAATACGAGTAAGTAGGAGGTGTGTCAGGAAAGTTCCACGACGAAAGATACACAGGCGTGACTTGATAATCCGACCCTTAACAATCCAAAACCTTGCTATCCGACAGGTTTTTAGGAAAAACGAACGGAACCCTTTAAAAACAGCCTTAACATACCGACAGCCTTGGATTCTGACTCCGACATGACATTTTATGTCACCAATCAGGAT